TCGTCCATGGCTACCCCCTCCTGACTGATAATATACCCGAGGAACGAGGTGCTTGTTTGGTGAAACTCGCACTTCTCAGCTTTGGCATAGAGTTGATACTTCATGAGGCGTTTCAGCACAGATCTAACATGGTGGATGTGTTCCTCCAGAGTGTTTGAGTAAATCAGGATATCGTCGATGTATACAATTACCCATCGGTCGAGCATGTCCCGGAAGATGTCATTCATGAAAGATTGGAAAACTGAAGGACTGTTTGCCAGGCCGAACGGCATAACCAAGTATTCATAGTGCCCACTAGTGGTGGAAAACGCCGTCTTCCATTCGTCTCCTTCACGGATGCGAATTAAGTTGTAAGCGTTGCGTAGATCTAGTTTGGTGTAGTATTTGGCTTGGCGAAGCTGTTCTAATGCGGCTGGAACTAGGGGCAACGGGTAGCGAAACTTAATGGTGATGTCGTTGAGGCCGCGGTAATCAATGCATGGCCGCAACCCTCCGTCCTTTTTCTTTACAAAGAAGAACCCGGCTGAGGCAGGAGAAGTTGAGGGTCGAATGAATCCCTTCGATAGTTCCTCGTCAATGTAAAGCTTCATGGCCTCGGATTCAGGTTGCAATAACGGGAAAATTCTGCCTTTAGGAGGAGTGGTGCCAGGCATTAAGTCAATGGCGCAATCAACAGAACGGTGAGTGGGAAGCTGAGACGCTTTTTTTGACTGAAAGCGTCGGCGAGGTCCGAGTATTCTGGGGGCAGATGAAGATTATTTGCGACTGGAGCAGGTGATAGAGAGGCATTACTGGAGGCTCGGGTAATTTTTGTCAGGCAATGATCTTGACATTTGACGTCCCATTGAATAATTTGTCCTTCCCTCCAAGAGACGAGTGGATTGTGAGCGCGGAGCCAGGGCAGTCCTAGAATGATAGTGTGATTGGGCGAGTGGATGATGAAGAATCGAATGATTTCAGAGTGCAGGGTTCCAACATGTAATTTGACTTCTTCGGTGATGCTTAAAATCCTCCCCTCTCCAAGGGGCCGTCAACGCGCCGCCATCTTGAGCGATTTTAATCTCCATCGAATTTCTCAGGGAAAGCGAGTAGGAAGTAGGAAGCCCTTGCATTTGGCAGGTTCTCCATCGAATTTCTCAGGGAAGGCAAGTCGTGGGCTGACTGGAGGTGTCTGAGCAGGTGGCGGGTTACTGAGGACAGATGGCGGATTAGACACGGCTCCGTGGGGTGATATGCTGATACCCTGTAGTGCCTTGACGAGCTCCTCAGTCAATGTGGTGAGCCGATTGCATCCCTAATATATATATATATATATATATATATATGCTCTTTGATGGACAGAAAATATGAGAAACCACATAACATACATGCAATCACTCAATCATAGAGAAAGAGGGAGCATGTGTGTGGGTTTTCAGATGTGTAATAGAGTGAATATAATTAAAATATCCGATTATGGTCACTTCAGTTGAACATAATAATAGATTAGGCTCACACATAGATGAATTGTGATTGTGATAGATGAATTGTGACTAACAGCCCTTTGTGTGCGTTTGTTTATGTGTTTCCTTTGCAAGTCTGTTAAATTATTTGTTTTTTATTTGAAATAAATGTAGATGGGTTCATGTACAGTATTAGGAAGTCAGCTGGAGTTCATCAGTATGTGAGAAAGTCTCTTACACTTAATTTGGCTGACAAAAAAAATAGACACTGGCTATGCGATCACAGTAATGCCCTGTGTGTGTGTGTGTGTGTGCACAAGTTTGTGTGTGTTAGAGAGAGATAGAAAGGATGAATATATGGGGGATGGGATGGGATTGGTTGGGTTGGGGTTTTTTTTCCATTTCTTTTTCACGTGCTCACACTAACACAAGAAATCCGATTAGTGTGAGGATTACAGAGCACCAACCTTTTTAGAGAAAACACACGCACAGAAAACGTATGAGCTTCTAAACAGTGATGGAGAGCACTGAATACTCTTTAATCAACAGTTCACCGAAGGATACACACCACAGATGATTGTAGTTTCTGTTACTCCTTCTTCTCTTTCATTTTCAAAGGCCAGATCGAGATTAATTAAATGTCAGCACTGATGTTGTGTGTGCGTGTGAGTGCATGTGTTTGGTGTCTCGCTGTTAATTTGGTGCAAAATGTCGAGTGTCTCCTGCTCTTATGCTGACATTCTGATTAAGAGCATTGAATACCTCTATATAGCCTGAAAAAAATTTTATTTGTATGATGCATTATACATACAACCTTACATATATGGTAGATTAATGACGTTTCCAGAAATAACTCTTCTTTATGTGCGTGCAAGTGTTTGTATGCAAGGGCTGCCGGTTCTGTGGTTACCTGAGCACTTTCTGCAACTAAAGCAAATTAATGCCTTCATTTACATATCACTGTGGGAACTGGGGTACTGATGATGCATACATCTTTGTGACTGTGAACGTGTGTGTATGTGTTTGTTTGTTTGTGTGTGTGTGTGTGTGTTTGTGTGTGTGTGTGTGTGTGTGTGAGAGAGAGAGAGAAAGAGACAGTGAGCATGAGAGAGAAACAAATTTCATTCTGCATTTATTTCGTGTATTGTTCAAATTCAGCCCACTAGAAAAACTGGCACCTAAATTTGCATATAATTGAATTCTGCTGCAGCAAACAGTTAATTATAACAGTTCATCATAAGTGTCCCTATATTTCTTGCTTCCTCTTTAGGCTGCATAATCTAAATAATACATACATGAATGAATGAATGAATTAAACATTTTAGGATGAAGATTTTTTTATTGTGCATGGTACAACATGGACAATAAAACTATATGTAATTTTTTTTAAACTATTAAACATATTTACTATACATCTTGCATAAGCAAGCCATTTGTAGGTTATAATAAGATTTTCTACTGTTTGTTTAAGCATTCTGAGTATTTTCTAGTGATGGGATGATTGATACCGAGGCTCCGATGCTCCGATGCTCCGACGCAGTTTTCAAAGCACTATTGTATCACACACTGTGCCGATGCTTGTATCAAAAAAGACAATACTTTTGTGATTGATGATGTTTGAAGCTTCGAACGTCATGCAGTATTGGAAGTACGGGACAGCTGGTTTGAAAAAAATCAGCGCTTCGCATGACTCTTGTGTTTGACTTTACATTGACTTGGTTGTGTGTGTGTGTACACTTATTTGGGATTCAGTAGAATAGTTTAGAATAACCTCAACACCAGACAGAAACTGAATGCACATCACACCTCTATTGCATTTTATCATGTTCTAGCTGGGGTCTCAGAGACCCTGAACAGCTCACCCAAAATATTTTTGCTACTACTCGCGTCAATTATTAATTATAATCACACACTTGTATATTTTATATTATTGAATATTAATTAATATTATTATTCAATATGTGAATCCATTGACCGGACTACGCATGACACGAGTTGGCACAGATTAAAAACTTTTCAAACCATCCTCTGCTCCGTGATGTTTCGTTAGATAGGCTGGAGAAACCGAGTCTGACCAGCAGATGTCGCTAATGCGCACTGTGTTAAAAAGCTTCGAGTAATGAACCGTTTTTCGGCACAATTTGACGAAAGCCTCAACGGTTCAGAAAGCCTCGGTTTCCCATCACTAGTATTTTCGCCATTTCCATACATACTCAACAATTCCATTTAATGAAAGAAATTCCACTCTTCAGTATTTTATTCATATTTATCATTATATTTTTACATATATATATATTTTTTTTTTTTTTTTTTTTTTTAAATAACCACACAAA